AACCCTTATCTTAATTAGAATTTTTAAGTGTCCTAATCATATATATCAATTATGCCAGGTCAAAAGTAAATCTGGAGGAGTATCCTGCTCTTATTATGATTTCTTATTACATTTTGCTTCTAATGAGAAGGTAATTAAATCAAACTTACACTTTCGATATCCTTCCAAGGACAAGTTCCACTTGAATATTGCCTGGGGTAGTGATAAGATTGTCTCGGAGATCCCTGCATGAAGAAAGATGATTTGTTGAGAAGAAATGATAAAAAGTTTACGTTAGTATCACATGGCATAAACTTCAGGATAGATAGTTCATAATTATTCACGGAAAGTAGAGGTGAATGTTTGTTCTATTACCAACCACACAGAAATTGTTCGGAGGTGATAGCACTTGCCAGTACCACCGAAGTAGCTAATCTGGGCGCGCGAAACACACTGTTCACTGGTGTGGTATATACTAATCAGAATATAATTTTAAAACAATACGAGGGGCATGGGAGATGATAAACTCTGGCGCATTCGAATTCTGTCGAAGACGTTGATGGTTTTCATAAATTCTAGAAAACTCTCTGAACCACTGATTATTTCATCGATTAATTTTCTGTTTATTGCGCGTGACGTACATGATAACAAGATTCCAAGATATTTCTGTCGGATAACCGTTAATCATGAAAAGCCCTGAAATACAACCGTTAATCGTTACAAAAAATGTCTTCTATAGAAAACTTACGTGGTACGGCAAAATAATGCAAACATTACCCTTACTTGCGTAATTAGTGGCGGATTTTGTCGTTTATGCAAAAGTTCCATCTTCGAGGTTGCTAAGCTCACGATCTCCAGGCCTTTCAATTTTTCTCGGGTTTAGAGGAAGAGTTAGCCGAGCCCAACATCAAAATTTGGCGAATTGTTATCCATTTATGACTGAAATTACTGTACAATCCCCGCAAAAGCTTTGAGTATTAACTGTCAAACGGTTTGAAGATATTGTTTATCTCATTACTTGAGCATCTTGCCGCGAACATCTCTAGATCTCAAAGGAAATTTTTAGAATGTAATTAGACTGCAAGTTTCTAAAATAGTCACTTCACAGTCATTTTCAATGATTTTCACCTAAACTAATAGTTTGAAAACATTTTAAAATTTCAGTTATGATTCTTAAGCACTTAAAAATGGCAACATCATCGATAATTTGAGAACAATTATCAGATTAGTTGGTTCCACTTACAGCACTTGTAAATCTTTAAAGTTTGCGACGACTATTAGTGACTGCAGGTTTGATATTCCATTGTTCCTCAGAATTCTGTTGAAAATGAAAGGAAAGATGAAAAATGAGCGTGACCGGTAAGGAAAGGAGATCACTAAAAAAAAAAAAAAAAAAAAGAAGCCTGATCGTCTCTCAGGGGGGTCTTTGGAGAGTTAGGTCATCGGCATCCTACGTAAAGTTTGCATTAGATCACCCTGGGGACTACGGCTTTGTTTCAGAACGTTTTGGGGTCATACGGAAATCTTTCTAGGTCATTTAACTGAAAATTAACGTACTAATTCAGATAAGAGCAAGAGATGACAAATTTATTCAACGTTATCTTTAAAACCGATATTCATGTTATTCGTTTCCCATGGCCGTTGTATTCGCATTGAAGAGTCAGAATAAGGAAAAAGTAGTTTAAATTAACAGAATTAACAAGGGTTGCAGTTGCTTTTACAATAATGTCTTGCTGGTAGAACTACATAGGGAATTCGCACGATCTTAATGGTGATTTCTACTTACGTTTGAATGTATATGTTTTCCTAATATATAGTGGACATCTATCTCTAACAAATATACAACAATAAAAAAAATTTCAAGGTAGTTACTGAATGGAAACTAAAAACTTTCAAAATTCGACACTACTTACAAATGCGTTGTTGTATGTGGAAGTTCGAATGCAATTTCATCAAAATTATCGCCCGCAGAGGTGCATTTCACCGTCACACGAAACTTTTCGAACAGACATGTACAGTTCGCTGCTTTTGAGCAAAAAATTGCGGACTCAAGGAAGCTACCTTTATCACCGCCTTCGTTGTTGCCTGTCTTTCGCGGCTGGAGTAGCGCTGACGTCGTGAAAATAACAAAAGTCAATAAGGCGAAGCGATGAATATCGCAGAACGTCATTTGCTGTTATTCACTCTAGGCAGTTTTTAACCTTAGTTGAAGGGACTTAAATACGTCATTTCCTTCAGAGCTCCGCAAAAACTAAGCCAAAGGTTGATGCCCAATCCTAGAATTTTCTACTACTACTTCTAATTATTTGGTACTTTGCTCTTGCTCTGTTGCTATCAACCGTAAAGATGAAATAAATGTCATCGCATTTGCTAATCAGCTAAAACAAACGACTGCTCATTAGATCAATACATGCATGTTGATATTTTGATGCTTCTCTTTTTGAGCCAGATGATGTTGATGTTTGAAATTACAGCGTAACTCAAAGGAGTGAAAGTACGAGGCTCTGGGGAATAAAGCGCGCACCCGCCCTCAAGGCAATAAGAAAATCTACTGCATTGTACACCTTGTTGACACAACGTACAAGCGGTGCATATAAAAGGAAGCTTTACTCACCAATTCACAATTTTTTTTATCCTTAATGGGTTTTGCTGGATGTTTTGACACTGAACTTTACCCAAAACGCTTGTGGACCATGTTGTCTTGTTGTTGTATCGTTTTTTATAATAACCCTAATCTGTGGAACCTGTATCGATTGGTCAACCTGTATTCAGCGGTCACCACGCCATTCCTTGCGCTCAGTACAGGTTCGACTGTACCTGTTTCTTGAGTAAACGCAAAAAATTTAATCGCAAGTATTGTATAGTAGATTTACTATCTTGATCATTGAATGAATGAAAGTTATATGGAGCAATGAAAGGAGTCACTTGACCGATGAACAACTCCATATTTCGCCAGACGACACGCCGGGCAAGCCGGAAAGCAAAAGGCAGTCGAGTGAAATAACTCGAGTCTAAGAATGTAACTTCTGAATTTTATATTATTTACACAGTAATCGGCCACACAGTTGCCAATTGTGTAGATTATTTCTGAATAATTTCTCGTCAGTTGCCTCCTTGGAACGAATTCGTTGCAGGGGAACGACATGAGTCGCGCAGGCCCGTCAACAGTTTTTAACTTTCGAGGGAACGGCGACGGACAGTGAATCTCCATTACATTCCACGTTATTGTCGCTGCTACCTACCTGTTCACTCGACCTGCACCCTCTGGATGCAAATGACTTACATACTCTGTTACGACCATGATGCAACGCAATCGGAGTGCGCACACCGCCAGAACAACACTGTACACATGTATCAATTCACACAAATAAATACTCCAAGAGGTGTCCGAAAAAAAGCGATGCTCAGGTTTAAACATTTAACTAGTGACAAGGAAGGGCATGAGGGAAGCACAATTCACTGGCCGCCATATTTCACGGAAGAAAAAATTTCGCGCATGGCCATTGCCTGGTGTTTTCCCGCCAATTCGAGGTTCTCTTGCGTCTGCAGCGGCTGCAAATCTGAAGAAGAATCAAGGCCACCGTTTGACGAGCTTTTTGACGGATTATCTCTCCTAAGGTAAGCAAAAATACTCCTTGTTTGACCCTTTTAGCCTTGTGCCCTAACACTTCTTCTAGATCTATCAATTCGAAATCAGAGTGATTCTTAGAAATTTTATTGTGAGCCTGGTAAAATTTTTTACCCCTTCTGAGCTTGATTTTAGCAAACGAAAGATCATTTAAATTTTTCGGTCTCATTTCTTTGTTTTGTAATTTTCATTTGAACACTCAAGAGAAATAAACAAATGCAATTCATTTTACTATTTGCTATTTTGATCAAAGCTTGATATCTGGCCACAATGTAGGCTTGAGTAAAACGCAAAACAAGTCAAAACCCTCCAGACATATTCTTATTTCACAACACCATTCATTTATCGAGCCAATTAACTAAAGGCAACTGGACTCTAATCTGCCGTTGTATTCTTTCCTCTTCCTATAATTATGCCTCGTTGGTGGGTGGCGACACGTATCGTTTGCTGTAGGTAGCTAGTATGGCAGTAAAAATGAAAACGCTCGATCTAGCTCTTACAATCATGTTATTTTTTGAATAGACTGATTGATTAGGCTGAACAGCGTCAAATTCAATCGCATCCTCAAGATGTCAATTGCATTTCAATTCAAACTTAAGTTCCATTTCACGGAAGTTGAATTAAGAATGTTACTAATCAATTTTCTTGGTAAGTTTTATTCAACGGGATCAATAGCGACCGGTATCTGTACAAAACTGATTAATTGTCTGATGCAATTTCAAGACTTACTTGGTTTTATAATTTCACAGGATTGAGGACTAAAACCATCAAGTATCTGTACCCAAACTTTCTTTGCTCAACTTTAGTTACTGGCAATAAAGGGGCTCCACCTGGTAGCTGGGGACTTGTTTACTACTTGCACACATACTCCTTATGAGTGAGATTATGAGCTTGTTAACTGAGTGAAAGGGGTAGATGGGACAATATTTGGCCCAAGGTCGTGATATGCACACCATGCACAGCTAGCTGAGTAATTTCCTTCCTGGCTCAGTGAAACTCTGGCATCACTTTTTTTTATTATATGAACACTAAGAATTAATAAAATGAAATCACATTTGAATCTAAAAAGTGCCTACTTTGTCATTTTTTACATTTCACATTTACATTCTCTTAAAATGCAACAGACCCTTGTGTCAGTACACTGCCAGATGGCTTCTTCTAGGCAGTTTCATTTAGATCTGTTTGGTCTTACACATATAAACAACAAATGTACATACTTTCACATATATCAAATTTTGAATGAAGTGACTTCCATACTGGTGTAACCTTCTCTATTGACTTTTCAGCTGGTGTCATTGATTGCTCACTCAGTGTCATGTAAAGTTAACAAATTCAAAACATGAAGAATTCGTTCAGGAAAGTTTTCATTATTGTATTCATTACACATGTCATAATGAATACTTGGACAAATGCTGGAGGTAAGGCTAAGGTACTTGTAGATATACAAATATGTGGAGTGTTTACAGGGGGACATAATTTTTTTCTTGCATAAAAATACTCTCTTACTGCAAAATCCTTTTTTTCTCTTAATATGGATGACATTGCTTCCTAATGAAAGTAATTGGCAGTACTCCATATCCCCAACAGATCAGCACAGAAGCCTGTGGGTTGACCTCTTTACAATTAGCCATAATTACCATATTTTCATGATTAAAACTCACAGCATACATTTCAAATGTTTCAAATGTCCTGATAATTTAATGTAGGGCCCATGAAAAAAGGTTGTGGCATTTTATTTAAGAGGAAAGTAATGTCAAAATAGGATGACCCGGTTTTGGAGCTAACACCTGCTCCATATTTCCCTAAAATTAGATTTTGAACACAGGCACTTATTCATATAGGACTTACTTGACTTTTTTAGTCTAATGAACTGGAACCCAGGAATAAAAAACAAACAATTTTTATCCCGTGATGTAAAGCATAATTCAGTTTTAGGGCAAGTTTATTGTAAGATGTCTAAATTTGTCTGTTACTAATCCAATTGTAATATTTTATATTGCTTTTAAAGTGCCAGAGGTAGCACCAACAAACTTGCGAGTGTTGGAAAAAGGCTCTACATCAATCACTGTCTCTTGGCGACCTGTTTTTGGCGAAGTTTCAGGATACAAAATAAGATATAGAAAGGGAGGAAATGGTCAATATACTTTTGTTCATGTGGAAGTAAGTCTTTGGCAGTCTCAATGGGAAGGAAACATTATTGACCTCGAGAAGAACACTGTGTATAAAATTCAAGTAGCAGGGTATACAAAAGATGGTATAGGACCATATTCAGAGGAAATCATAGAGAAGACTTACAATGGTAATTTTATACAATATAACTATTCATGCTATAGTAATGCTACAGCAGCAGGTTTCCACCACTAATACCAGCTTGATTGCTTTAAATTAGCAATCTGGAATACAATTACTGCACATAATTTGGCCTCTTATCTTGTGAAATCCTAACAGCAATGTAGTTGCTCCTTCATTTCTTTATTTTTTTGTTGTTTTTGTTTGTTGCAAAATGGAGCTTTATCCTGAGGTACCTCTGATGCTTGGAAATTTTTATGATTTAATTACAACTATCTTATTTATATGTATGTATTTATATGAGTAAAGTATGGTGATAGTGAAGATTAGCAACAAACAGTAAGGCCATTAGATGTAAGGATCCAGCAGGAACCACAATTCTTCCATTAAGAGAATCAGTCATTATTTTGAAGGAGAAGGGGGAGTTTCATTTTGATGAGGAAATTAATCCTGAATATGACAAGAACCCTGCTCCTCTCAGCTTTTAAGAGCTTCACCTTCCTAAATAGATCTGACTATAAATTTCTTAGATAATTTCAATGCAGAGCTCCCTTTATCTGGTTCTCAAATGTACCCCTGCTAATTATACAGGTGAGTACAGGTACATTTAGCAACAATTGGAATTTGAGAAACTGAGAAAAGGTGTTTTTCTCTTTAGATTCTCAATACCACAGCCCAGATGTGAGCTTGCCAAATGTCTCACCAGATGCTCCTCCAGAATTAAGTATTCCCCGATCAAGGCAGTTCATAATCCAGTCTGAAGTCAATCTGAAGGGTGAAGTTTTTCATAGAACAATGTTCTTCTGGAGTGTTTATCAGCTGGGTGACAAAGATATATTATTATTTACCAAGAATGGCTCATCAGAAATGCTGATTTCTCCATGCTTGTTGCCAGTTGGTGAATTTTTGGTTCAACTCAATGTCAGTATGATAGGAACAGCAGTGTTTGGGGTCAGTCAGGGTTATTTCAAGGTGGTGAGTAGCCCTTTAGTGGCATCCATTGCTGGTGGAAGCAAGGTGGCCAGAGGACTGGAAAGAACATTGATTTTTGATGCATCCCTTTCATATGATCCTGATGAAGAGAATCTGCAATTTTCAGGTTAGTAGTAAAGCAAAAAAAACAATTCTCTCAAATTCTCTCAGCAAATGTTTTAAATCAGACTCTTCAAGATGCATCATCAAGCATTCTGAAAAAGAAAAATTCATTATTTTTCATGGTAATTTTGCTAACAATTTAAATAATTGTGGATGATTTATAACATTACATCACAGCCTTCTGAGAACTTACTACTTTGATAGGCAAAATGACCAGTCAGACTTATCCTCTCTATGATCAGCAATAAGAATAATCAAATTTAACAAGATTTGTTATTAACAGTGATGAACTGTTGTTCTGCTTTGGTATGTTGGCCCCATATTTAAATCTCTACTTCACTATAAAATACATATAACTGAAACAAATGTCATTTGGATTGTACTCTAGAGCACTTTGCTTTCCTGCTTTCATTCCACTCCGATGCTTTGCAAAACCATCAAAATTGAACACCATTAAAAAATAAAGTACAAAACGTTTAAGACCCTGTAAGTTCAGCGAGCTGTAAACATTTAGTGTTACGTAGTCTGGCTAAAAGCGGACAGCAATGTTCGTGGAACAACATGACAACAGCTCTCCAGAAAAATTTTTTCCATAACAGCTAAGCTTACTTGGTATTTTAGTTGAATCTTGTTACTTAACTGCCAGCTCTCACAACAAGAAAAAGGGCCGGTCTTTGACTGTTGATCGTTGCGTTTAGAGACTCTTTTGACATTCAAACACACGTTACTGATATATCTACTAGTGAAATTTCATCATGCGAGAAGGCGAATTATTCAGTATTGGTAACTCACTTTTGACTTCCTTAGAGCAACAACCTAGACATTTTAGGGACACCTTGAATAAGAGGTCTGGTACTCTTCTGTTCATTTTGGTTTTGGTCAAATGAAATAACGCGGCGTAACAGCCTTTTAGAGAGGGTCCTGGTAACTGCTTTCGTATGGGGAGACCGGAGGCAATACTTTTCAGATGAAGTTCAGGATGCATAGTGTAATACTGAGGAATCACCTCAAGTGACTGATTGAGTAACCGAGAGACTTTACTACGTTACATTGTTTCAGGCCTCAATTTTACATGGCTGTGCAGAGAAGAGTCATCGCAAGATCTTAGTAACTCAGTTGAAGGAGGATGTTATTATAGGGCTGGTGATAAAGAATCTATCGGACATGAACTTAGAATGAACAACAGTCTTCTGGCAGAAAACACCTCATACTTTATAACAGTACAGGTTACAAAGGGTGTAAGGCAAGCTGAGTACACTCAGGAAGTGTTTATTGTTCCCGGCGACCCGCCAGAAGTGCAAATTAGGTATGTAAAACACAAGAAACCAGGTGCTTGAACTTCTTCCGTGGATTTTTTTTTTTCAGTTCTACAGAACCAGAAACCTTCAACACATCAATGCAATTTCGCCCGAGCAGATCGTGATTTACTAGTAATAGACATGCACGTACAATTAATTATGTGCACGGATATACCTTCATGCATTTACTTATAAGTCGCAAGGCAAAGCAAGTCATTATCGCGTATCCTTTCTTAAAGTTTATCATTGAGTCTTTAAGAATAAAGAAGTGAATTGGCTTCAATTCTTCATTGACTTGTAGGTGTATGGAGAACTGCGATATGAAACTGAACCCATCTGGGAGAATGGCTTTACAGGGCATGTGTACAGGTGCCTCATGTCATAGTTCTCTTATCTTCAAGTGGACAATTTTAAAAGACTTGAATAACTCTCTAAACAATTCCCAGTGGACTGAGATTTCAGAAATAAAAGAGTTGATAAGTACTCGAGTTTCATCAAAATCTCTCGTCACTAGGCCTGGAGTGCTGACACCCGATACCAGGTATAGGTTTATATTGACAGCACGACGAACAGGTGGATACCACGGGTATTCTGAGTACCACGTGACCTCAAACAGCCCGCCTGTTGGAGGAGTATGCACTGTAAGCCAAACATCAGGAGTCGCTCTTATAACAGAGTTTACTTTTTCTTGTGATAATTGGCAGGATCCAGATCTTCAGTTGCAGTATGCATTTATTTACCTAACAAATGACGATCTTCTTAATGTGGCATACGAAGGAGTAAAAACCAGTGTAACAACCAAACTTCCTGCTGGAGAGAGTAAAAATAATTTTACCATCGACTTTCGAGTGCGAGTGACTGGCATGTTGGGAGCATTCGCTGAAGTGAGGACTCCCGTACAGGTAAGAAACGGAAATGGTAAAGAAACATTATGCCTATTCATCGTCTTCTTTTTATGACCTTCTGTCAAATAGGATTTAACGCTTGCCAGACTCAGCAAAAGTAAGTGACTGTGAAAAGTTCATCAAGGGCCAAAAGGTAATTATTTTGACCAGAGTAACAGGCAACTTGTTAAGTAGCTAAGTAGTCAAGTAGCCGGCGAAACTCCGGCGGTTACTGGCTTGTTTTGAAATCACTGCTCTTGTAAACCATTCGTAGACTGTTCTGTTTTACTTTGATTGTAGGTCTTAGAACCCAGTATTGAACAAGCAAACCTTACAGACATTGTCCAAATCCTCACAATCGGAGAAGAAAGTGAGCTGAAGTATTTGATCCAATCGGGTGACGTGTCACGTGCTGTACAATTGACGGCGGCAGCTCTTTCGGTAGTTGATGTCATTGCGCTTTCGAAAACGACAGAAAGTGAGGCCAATGAGTTGACTAAGAAACGGATTATGGTAAATAATTACTATGTTGATCTACTTCTTGTGAGACTCTCTATGTGAAACCTTCCCAAAAACCTTTATCGGGAGGTTCGATTATGCATATGTTGCAGTGATTTACTTATTTAGTGCTTGATTAAGGCGCATGCTTGCTAGTCTAGGTGAGAGTTTTACTTAGAGCCGGACCGGATTTGCTGGACCAACATTTCGTTTTTACACAGTCTCGCTCCTCAAGATAATTTTAGTGGCGACCTGGTAAGCTGATAGACTTCAACTTTGTAGGTAAAGTGAAGTTACCCTTCCATGGTTTCAGATATAAATACTCTAAAGAACTTAATTGCCACTTCCCATGTAGTGGAAATTACCTATGTATCTCTCTGTTTAAATTTGTTTTACCTAATCGATATACCTCTATAATTAGGAGGATTCTCAGACACTGAGAACTTCACCATCCGTTTGTTTTTTGCTCTGTTGACCGTTTTGAATAACTGTAAGCTGAATTCTTGCCTTCTTTCAATTGATACAGATTAAATCAAACATCATACAGCTGTTATCAGCCATCAACGTAGATACAGTAGTTAGAGTCCAGCAGGTGTCGAATGTGATTGCCTCTGCCAGCTCGGTCATTGACGAGGTTACCGTCGAAGCACAGGTAATTCAATAACCAGGCACTGCTTTGGTGTCAAACGAGAATCGATTCCTTAGCTAAAATCAGAGATAGATAAATTCATATGTTGGTCCTTTAACTTTTTTTTCGCGCAGAAAGATGCAACGGATGCGCTTGAAAAGATGACATCAGTTTTGAAGGTGGAGAGTACAGCTGGGGAAAGTTACGACTCGCTTTTTAATGGTGCAAATAGTCTTGTGACTGGTCTTGGTAGCATACTTAAGGTAGCATCACATGAAGCTAGTGTATACGATTCGCATTTGCAGGAGAAGTCTCACATCAAAGCCAGCTTCATAACTACTGATGAACGACTCTCACGTAAAAGCCGGGGGTCAGCGTTTAGGGTAAGAACTTCTTTGCCGTATTTATGGGCCGGAAGGAGCGAAAGAGACGCATCTGACGCCAAGCTGCAGGTAAACAACCGTTCAGTATTACGTGTTCAAAACCGAGATGGTTGGGGGGATACGTAGAGGGATTTTACCCTGAACGTCTTTTGTACTTGAAATGTTCGGGTAGAAGATTCCTTTTAAAAAATCCTGATTGTTAGTTTGATGGTAAAATTATAGCAATCGGATTGGCAGCTCACGTTACCAAATAAGAAAATTAAAATAGCTGTTATAATCTGTAAGTAATGATGACAGCAGCCATTGCTTTATGGACGTTTTGTCTCAGGCTCGAATCCACGTGGAGAGTATACTCCAGTCTTTGAGAGAGGTCGGGAATATCATCTTGTCCCGAACTATGGTTGGCGAGGAACCAAAACAGCTTTCAGCCCAGGCCACGTCTCTGTTAGTGCTGCGAGAGGAGCCAGATAAGCTCGCTAGGACTACTTTGGCAAACAAAGGAAACAGTTTTTGTCTTACCTCACTATCCATCCAGTTAACTAATGTTACCCAGTTTGTAGATAGCCAGGTAGGTATAAGAACTTCAGTATTAAATTGTACAGAACAGAACTTTATTGTAAAATTGCACCATTATATTACTGTTGAAGGACACGCGGTAAATAAATCTCTAAGTGAACTTTCTGGCTCGTATGGGGATTATCTGCATGGGCGTGTCCTGTGATACGAAGCTTCTTGTTTGTGACTTCTAAGTTGTCATTATGATGCTGGCGAAAGGAAAACAATCAGTATAACGTCATAGCATTAAGTCGGCGTATTTGATAAAAGACGTTTTCTTTGAAACCAAACTAAACAATAGGAAATCCCCACACCGTCTATTGTTTGTTTACTTAGATATTGTTAACTTCCTTTTGATGCTCATATCAAACCTTGTCGCCACAAAGCGGTGAAACTAATACTTTGCTTGGGCCTAGATGACTATTTGTTAACTTTTGATCTACCTACAGCTGAATCGACCGTGATTGATTAAAGATCTGTTGCAATTTTTTAGCCAATGATATTTAAGTAAAACCTATAAAGAGATAGAGGAGACGAGAAATATCTTTTGGTGTGGGTTCCAGAGAAACTGCTTTAAGAGCCGTTTAAAACTACAAATGTTCTTTCGTCTTGATCTACAGATGGTAACAACAGACTTTACGCCCTTCTCTTGGAACCCCTCAGGATCAAGAGTGACGACTGCAGTTTCAAGCCTTGAACTTAAGAACAGCTCTGGGCATCCCCTGAATACGACAGAACTGACAGCGCCGATTGCCGTAAAACTTCAGAACCAGGACTTCACAAATGCTTCTCAGGCTCATTACGTTGGAGCTAACAGAACTGTTTTCTACAAGATAATTGTCACTCAATTAGGGATGGCATTGATGCTAAACATTCGTCCGGAAAGCAACAAGACAGAGTTTGTGGTTACTGTTAAGTACGGAGAGCGGCCTTCCCCAAGTAAAAGCGACTTGAATCTAACAATACCTGACCTTTCATCTTGCTATAAGATGCCAGATGGTTATGCGAACTGTTCACGCGATCCTTATATAGTTTTCGTGAACCAGGAATTCGTTGAGAACAAAGGTCCTGGATACTACTTTATCAGCCTTACAGCCGTATCAAAAATTTCTGAGACCTCTCGTTCTAGGCGCTGCACAAAGCAGTCATGTATGCAGTACAAAGAACTGCCCACCACGGGTGCAAGTTTCAACGTACCCCAATACCGTGAAGGAGATGAAAATTATACCATACGAGTAATGTCGGCTGCTTGTCTGTTCTGGAACGCAGTAATATCTCAGTGGACATCTGAAGGATGCAAGGTGAAAAATAAGAAATTATATCGAGTGTAAATCACGTTTTTTGATATTTGGTACTTAAGTTTGTTATCTCACTCTCATCTGTGCTTGCTTCCCGCTATTTTCCCTCCCGTCTTTCATGTTCACCTTTACTTGCATTAAATACCAAAATCAAACGATTGTTAACTGTTTTCTTGCAGGTAGTCGAAGAGACAACTCAAGATTACATTCATTGCTCTTGTAATCACCTAAGTACTTTTGGTGGTCAGTTACTTGTGGCGCCCACCCCCATCGATTTTGATAAGGTTTTCACAGAGCTAGTTCGCTTACCGGATAGTGGAAACTTAGCTGTTATAATAGCAGTCAGCTGTGCATTTGGTCTTTACCTAGGAATGCTGCTATGGACTCGGAAGAATGACAAACTTGATCTCGTAAAGGTAAACGCGTAATTTCTCTTTACTACAAGCTGCCAAAAATAAAACTGGTCTCTTATAATCTCGCGCTCAGTGAGCTATAGATGACTGACAGCTAGCTCCCAATGCCCCTATCGGTCTGAAAGCTGATTGGTTCTTGCTTTGCTACCCGACGGAATTTACTTAACGTGGGCAAGATTAGTTTTCTCACGAGAAAAGAAAACTATATATCCACTATCCTGCATTTCCAAGATGTGTGTTGCAATTTTTCATTCTCTAAATCGTCTCCGATCGAAAGGCAAGTAATGGAAGGAATTGGCCGTCAACACTCAAATTCAAAAGCAAACGTTTATTTCAGGCTGAAATGCCAACTGAGCCATTTTTTGAGAGATTAAGAGAAATGGCGCGACAAAGGAAAGCTGAAAGGTGACTTCGACTGTGTGACACTAGTCATGGTATATGAAATGCCACGGAAATACCACGGAAATCTTTAGGGCTGCGACGCATTGAGAGTTGATATCAGCTTTGGTGGAAGTATTAATACTCCAAAGAGAGCTTACTTATCACTAAAACAAAACTTTTGAAGTCATGTGGAAACTATATACTGTAAACTGAGGTGAACCCTAAACCTACGTACAAGGTTTTTTTGTTGATAATAGTGGTAATTAAATGACTTTCCTCTGGCATATTGCTTACTTGCACCCTTCTTGAGTCGGTCGCAGATGAAAATAACGCCTTTTAAAAAGTAATTTAATTCCATTATCGTAACAGTTTGTGTCGATTTTGAACAAACTTTGACCAGTTCCCTTTTCATTCCTGGCAGGTGGGCGAGAGGGCACTTATAGGAGTGCCTATGCCTTGGTCTCATATGGTTGAGGTTCAAGTATCTACAGGCATCTGGCGAAACTCGGGAACCACTGCCAACGTTTTTATTGTACTAGAGGGAGAGTTAGGTACCAGTCGACCTTACCATTTGAAGCACCATTCGTGCATTCCTTTTGCAAGAGGGAGTATTATTTCTTTCGTTATTTCCATTCCTACCAACATCGGCACCATAGAAACCGTTCGCATATGGCATGACAACTCGGGCACCAGTCCATCATGGTTTTTGAATCACATCAATGTTAGCGATCTGTCCACTAGGATAGAAAGGAAGTTTGTCTGTTTTTCGTGGCTGGCTGTTGATAAAGGTGATGGACAAATAGATCGCACACTTCATTTCACTTCAGCGGATGACAGAAGAATTGATTTTTCCGCGTATGTTCAGAATAGAATTGCTGAAGAAGTCAGTGATTTACATTTATGGTTTTCTGTCGTCACAAGACCACCAAGGTATCGATTTACCCGCGCGCAACGTTCGTCTTGCTGTCTGGCACTATTGCTGACAACCATGCTAACCAGTGCGATGTTTTACGAGCATAGAACAGCGATGGACGACACACAGGGATCGTTGAGGTTGGGCCGTTTTGTCGTAAACTTCAGAGAGTTCATCATTGCAGTGCAGAGCCTTACAGTTGTATTTCCTGCCTATATCTTGACTGTGCAACTTTTTGCTCGTACTCGATCCTCGAACGAGAATAAGCGACTGGCTCTGAAAACCAACGCAAGGACGAAATTTACTCAGAGGGAACGCGAGTTTTCTTTCCCACACTGGTTTATTTGCGCTCCCTGGCTCTTGTGTTTTCTTCTTTCGACCTGTTCGGCGGCTTTTGTTATCTTCTACAGTCTACAGTGGGGTGCAGATACAAGTGAGCAGTGGCTGGTTTCTGTTGCAATGTCAATTTTGTTGGACTTTTTTGTGACTGAACCTTTCCAAATCATCGTCATTGCCTTTCTGCTGCCTCGTATTTTCAAAAGAGAACCTGATAGGTCTACCTGGACATCTTGCCCTGACGACTCAGAGGTTTATCTCGAAGATATCAAAGTTGGCGAGCTAGGCTGGGATGAAGCCGACGAAGAAGAAGTCAAAACACCAAAGCCTTTAACGAAGAGAAAATTGCGTCACACAAAGGCTGCTCGAATGAGGGAGATATATATGTATACAGCTCTTCGAAATATAGTGTCTTACTTGTTGTACTTGTGTATTCTTTGTATTGTTTGCTACGGTGGACGTAGCGAGCATGGGTACCTGATGACATCGTCCATGAAGAATACATTTGGAGAACTTAATACGGTACGTGAATCGCTTTTCCTTATGGGCTAATCTTGTTTCACAGGTGCCCAATTTAATAAGAATGGATACTAGTAACCTAATGATGTTAACAGACATTTGCAAGGGCCCGTCTCTCGAAGGTGACGGTAACTTTACGAGCGTAAAGTCTCATTTTAAATCTAAATCGAGGAACCAGAGCTGCGAGGCTTTAATAGAAAACCAATACATTTTGTTTCATTTCCTAACTGATTAAATTTCGAACTTATCGATACCTCAATTGATCTTGAGTACCGTAAACGTCCATGTATAAGCCGCATCCGTAGATAAGCCGCACCCCCGATTTGGAAGTGTAGAATTTGGAAAATAATAAAAACAATACAGTTTGCAGTTTCAGTAGAGTTGTATTGCTACAAAGAATCAAGGTTTCAAAACACCTACACAGAAGTTTTGGCTATCTTTCACATTTATCAAGTCTAAAGAAAGCGAAACAGAAAAGAAAAGAAACAAGTGCTTAGTTGCCAAGCTTTAAATGTTGGGAGGAGGTATGAACATGACCAACAAAAATTCACCTTTCGGGGATCAGAAATTAACAATCCTTTCGAGAAAAAGACCCATAGAGGGAAGGTTTCTATTTTAGGAAACATCAAAGTCATAAAAAAACTATAAAAGCTCAGGCAAATAGACAAGCTTCAGTTTAAATATTTTTGAAGTTGCAAAAGCAGAGCTGCATGGGTGTGTGGCAGCTCAGCTTCAAGATGCCAATTCAGATTGAGATAAGTTGCGCTGAGTAAAAGGGTAGCTGCTAAAACCTTTTAGAAAATCTAAAATTCAATCCAGTTCGTCCATTACCTGGAAATAGAGCGAAACATTTTAAATCCTGAAGAGAAATTTCGGAAATGCTTTGTGTCGTCTTCGACAAAGCAAGGGAAATTGCTTTTGTTTCACGTCAGTTGAGCATCTGATATGTGATAAATCACAAGCAATAGACTAATCACAGTCATTTAATGAATACTCTGTCACCTGTATGAGTATTTCTATGTTTATTTATCTATTTATTTATTTGTCCCGCCGAACCATGTAGATTTCAAATCACTTCAACACATGGGACTGGGCACGTGACGTTTTGGTGCCAGGTCTTTATGAGGATGGGAAAAACGTCACACTGAATAGTTCCAGGCCGCACATTGGAGATGGCGACGCTTTTCTCGTTGGAATGCCTCGTCTTAGGCAGCTACGAGTCAAAGAAGGTATTTTGAAGGAATTTTATCAACCTTGACCAAAAAAACATGCTTCCTGAATTTATCTCGCTGAAGAGACTGATTAAAGGTTACCTCACGAGCTACAACAAGTTTCGTCAACTGTTCACGTTTCGTTTCCCAAGTTTTGAGTTAATTAAAAACCTTACAGAAATCAAGTGACATATATTACATGGTGGAACTGCGAGCATAAAATTAATTGCAGGATATAGCTACCTTAGAGTTATGAGTTTGATTTGATTTTAATGCAAAATGAATTAGGATCTATTAACTGTTATGATAACCTGCACAGGAAAAAGGTAATTTAGTGTCAACAACTGAGTTGAAAACGTAAATTAGCCACCGTAAAGGGTAAAAAAGAAACGCACCCATTTATTCATTTGCACAGGAAAAAATTGCGCTTTTTGAAGGTTTCGCAAAAATCATTTCATGATATTCGGTGCGATTTATTCACGAATGGTACCAACATTTGCTCTAGTTTTGCAACTTTCAGCTCACTACTGGATCAATAAAATAGTTGTACCAACTAAAAATCCTCTATGTGAACTGAATTTTAGCGATTTAAAATTGGATGTAATAAGGTGGGAATTGAACCTCTTGTCTTGCAATTTTGGTCTAAAATCATACCTGTGATTTCGAATCAAACGCGCGCTGCGCGCTCATTTGAAATCACGCACATGCTATCAGACCAAATTACACTCCACTTAGTTCAATAATCATTATTAATTAATGAATTTATTGGCATCTCATGTACGCTTTATGTGCTTTTTTTTCACTCTTAGGCTCCTGTGATGTCAGTATAGAGGAATTGACAACGCCTTTCAACTCCTGTGTGGCTACATACACATTCGGTATCGAAGACAAAACCAGCTTCCATGAAAAAAAATGGCGTTTGTCTTCCTCATTTCAAAATAATAGGTCACTCATTAGTCTTCCTCAGGTCTGTCCAAGTGCTTGGCATTATTCTTCAGCCCAACAAACATTAAATCTTCCCTTATGGGGAAGACTTTATCTGTTTAACTTTTATAGTGAAGGAGGCTACCTGGCCGAGCTGGGCTACAATAAAACCACAGCCCTGAAAGTCATCTCTGAACTTAACTTGTTTGACTGGATTGACAGGTTTACCAGTGCTGTAATTTTTGAGTTCACGGTTTTTAACTCTCAAGTAAATTTGTTCAGCGTGATTTGGATCCTAACCGAGTTTTCACCAAGTGGTCTCGTGGTCTCTAATCACGTGATTCATACTATTCACATATATGACATTGGCAGGGGCTACAGTGCTGTCACCGTAACTTGTCAGTTGTTACTAGTGGTTTATATTGTATACTTTGTTGTTAAGGAAACGAAGAAGATGATTGCGGGAATTAAAAAATATTGTTCACAGTTTCTTAACTGGATTGAACTCACGCAGACTTTTACAGTCATTGGCTTTCTTACTACTTACGTTATGAAAGAAGCAGAGCTCTTTGCTACCACAGCGAAACTTAAGGAAAACACTTTTAAATCTATCAGCTTTGATTGGGGAGTTCTTTTGCAAGGCTTAGAAACGGTATTAATATCGTTACTGATGTTTTTGAACACTTTAAAGTTGCTCTATTTTCTCAAATTGAATTCCCACGTGAGGCATTTATTTCATACAATGAAAGGATCTGCTCAAGAACTCGCTCAGTGTTCAGTTGTATTCGCTGTCTTCATGTTTGGATGTATTCATGTAGGATACCTTCTGTTTGGGAGAGAACTTTACTCCTTTTCTTCGCCTTTCATCATTCTACAGTCTCTTCTAGTCGAAGGAGTCGTCGGTGGCAGAGTCGACTATTTTAACGATTGCTCTACAATCATTGTCCCTGTTTATTTTACGGCGATAAAAATGGCAGTGAGTCTTATATGCATCAATATTTTCATTTCTGTTCTTGTCTATAAATATGGCAGCATCAGGCAACTTTCCAGAGGGAAGTTTGATCTTGGACGCTTCATGGTAATGAAAATGAAAGAACTACTGGTTTGTGGGGGCGACCATCTGAGAGCGAATGAAGACATTTCTGAGCATGATTTACCAAACGCGGAGATCGAGGAGGATATTCTTCCTGAGGCAGCAGAGATATTGGCGAGGCTGGATCGGATTAATCATCTTTTAAATGTTCATTACGCTGATGAATTTTGTGAGGACCTTGAACTGTTTTCTATGTGGTTTGATCTTCACATGCAAGCTAAGAAATCCAAGGATTTACAAGAAAATTGGGTCGATGCTCAAGAAAGTTCTGAGGCTGCTGTAGAAGAAGATTGGGTGGATTCACAAGAGTAAAGTAGTGTCTCCTTGTGTACTACATGACTCGCCTATAAAACGTGACTTGATTGCTTTCAGAATGGAAATAAACTGCAGCTCTGAAGGCGATATCATTGTCACTAACTTTGAACACTTTTTGTCATTTTCCATCCATAGCAGAATTTCATTAATGGCCACTTTCAAGTGCACGCACTTTTTAGATTTCACACCGCTATTTCGGTAATTGCTTAGGGTTAGTTTTTGAAAAGCCTAAGGTTTTTCTTGTTTATGATTCCGCAGTTACATTTGATGCGTTAATTAATTGATAGCGTTCTAAAGGCACTTTGATGTGGTTATTTTTTTATATGGAAAAATTTTTCAGAGGGGGGAGAATTCCATTGATCTATTCCATTGACCAGATCTACCGCCACCCGGTATATAACGTTGTAGGGTTTGTACATTTATCCGCTGGATTGTATTAAATACGGTCAATGGAAAGTGGTATCCGTGCAACTTGTGTTTGCAGACTGATTGCGTTCATGAGAACTTGGGGAGAGACAGAGTTAGGGACCAAATCAAGGATCAGATGAGGAAAGTCTAGTGCCTCACTGAAATGGTTGTATTTCTATGTAATTATGACCAGGCTTGAGGCTTGTAAATTAGAAACCGTCTTACCCTCAAAGCGTCACTCGGGTATGTTGTAGCTCTCCTGAGCATAGTTTTGATCTGGCCATAGCCGCCGAATAAGCACTTATATTTGCAGGGTCATCCTCTGTGTGATGCGGATCTATTCACAGTTTCTAAGAAAATTATGTAATGTCTGCAATCTGCATGATTCTCAGTTACCAAATTTCGGGGACCTATCGCCAGTATTCAAAAGATTGATATAACCACCCCCTGAATCGATGTGTCGTTTTCATTTGGTAGTTCTTGTAAAAAAAAGAAGATTCTCTTTGATAAATATCCTCTGGTGCAGCACCCACATGGCCATTACACTTCCGCTTTAGTAACAAGTATATCCGTCTTGACTTCATATGAAAACGATTCATGAAAATGCAATCAAAGTGGTCGGAAACAGAAAAGGAATTTATACCTAAGTGAATCAAATATCATATAATTTTTTCTATCAACAGTTCTACTTCACCTAGACAGGCGTGAATTGAACTTATGAAAGCACTTAATCATGGACAATTAAGGACATTCACACCTATTGCATCAAACTATCTTTACAGCACTCGTTCCGAGAAAACATTTTTATGACTACGTCGCATAACCACTGCAATACTCAGGTTAATTTGAAATTAATTTTTGGGATGCCCAGCCTACCTCAGCCTTTTTTCCTAGTGAAGACTCCTATTTTTATCGTTCTTACAGAACGAAAATAAACAACCAAGAGAACGTTTTTTTGGAATTAACGTAGGTCACAATGAAACCTGGAGTATGCGGGGGCAAACATTGATTTTAAGTTTCCTTAGCTCGTGCGTTTCCAACGACGGCCATTTGTGGTAACAGAAGAACGGTGAGTAAGCAGCAATTGCATTAATAGCACTGAAGTGAGTTTTAGGATTTAGAAAGCAAAGTTTAACTTCCTTTGTCAAATTTCACTGTTTTTCTATTTTTTTTTTCAACTAAATCTTGGCTGGTAAAGTGTCTTGTCCTCGTGAGCATTTAAGTCGGTGGAGAGGGATAATAAACTTACAAAGAACAACAAGAGAGCTACAGATATTGATCCAAGTTGCTTATGTGGAAAAGTTGTTCAAGCTTTTGGGTCAGGGTGAAGTGCAGATGAAAGGCGGGGAATATAGTATTTCATTTTTGCCGCGAATGAGAAACAGACTAAAAGCCAACAGGTTAGATGTACTTATGACCATAGACATCGAGGGGCCACCTTCTGTGGACTTTGATTTTTCATTAGCCCTTGAAGAGTGGGCTATAAAGAACAGGAGAATTTTGAAATCGTGAAATACTACTATTATAAATGTACATGTAAGATGTTAATTAACTAAGAAGGATCTGCAATGAAATGTGGAAGCAAGAACAAATATGATATTGTTAAAATGATAATGGCACAACAGAGTTGTTGGTCTTGTTCTTTTACAAATAGTCACTTTCTTAATTATTTTAGTGGCCATGATCAGCTGCTGGTTGTAAGAGAATCATACAGTTAAGAGTTTACAGAGAAAGATAAAAAGAAGCATGCCACCTTACAATGTAACTTGTTGCTATTTCATTAAATGTTTAAAATTTTAGTTCAGTTTGAAATTTTCCCTATGCTTAAGTGACCCTCAGAAATGGAAAATGTCCCCCCAAAAATAACCTAAAGGGACAAATTGACCCTAAATAGTCAAATCCTAGCTCAAACCCTGATATAGTTTTACTCCATAGAGTTTTTTTGTGATGGAATCTAAGGTTTCCAGCAACTGCACCCGTAATATTCTTAGGCCTTCTACGCCTGTAAAAAAGGTCAACAAAATAGAAAACATCATAGGACAGATTGTCAAAAGGCGACAGATTCAAAAGTTAACGCATCCTCAAATAAATAATGTTTTGCGACAAAGAAAATAGGGATCTTTCGAGCAAGATTTATCGAGCGTCCTTCAGAGGAATTTCCTAAGATTTGTTGGACCGTTAAACATATCTGTGCCCTTCCTAGTACCTATGGATACAAAAAATTAATAAGACCAAGTTTGAGATAAAGGAAGAAAACACAAATAGCGAGGAAACTGCCTTGGTAACCACTATTTTTTTGGCTTTTAAATGATCGGCTGGACAAATTTCATAAATTGTGAATATTTTGCGAGATTTCACCGAAGCAAATTGAATAAAATAGAAGACAAAGCCAAATTATCACGAGCGAGCGCCTCCGAAGGCGCTCACCAGCGATAACTTGGCTTTACAACGAAAATCATTTTGTTGATATTTACTACAGCAAACGATAATCCGAACCTCGGTCATCGCCTTTTGATGGCTTTTAGTGACCTAGAAAAGCGAAAACAAAAAAATTGTTCATTACCCTGGCCCGCGCGCCAACATTGAGTAAAAACCCCTATGGCGCCTCCATAAGGATTTTAAAATACCTGCTGCATCTCTTCGATCCCTTGCTGTGTTTGTAAGTCTTATTCCTCCAGAGCTCTCTGCTGACACATTTATGATGTACATGGTATAAGCCCTCAAGCCCGTCTGCGTTGTGCTATTTATCGAGTAATCTATTTTTTACAAAATTGCTCTCCAAACCACTCCCTAATTCAGTCTAGTAATATGTGAAACTGAAATAAAGAGGTTTCCTTGAAGATCTTTTTCTGCCATGTGACTCCATTTCACTATCAAGCTAATGGAGCTCTTGCTGTAAGCGGTTATTTAATCAGAAGCACTAGAGGTTTGAGTACATTCAGAAAAATCATCTACTCGATTACTGAAATATATTTATGTTTCTGGACACATCTGAATAGAGAGATCAGATGTAAAGAATTCAATGCCACACCTAGACACAATATAAATGACTTGAAAATGACTTTTGTCCCTAACTTGTTTAACTTCGCTATTGTTTCGAAAGAATGATAGAAGAGGCTTTCTCTTGGAAAGCCACAAGTCTCACAACATTTTTATCCAATTTCAAATCTCGTAAGCTTTTGTGAATCTCGAAATTTCCCATTTCTCTCAAAGTCTATTAGCTTGGCATTTTTCATATGGCTGAGAGTCTAAAGGTAGAGAAGCTTGGAATTATATTTGTAAGCGACGGAAGTCTTATCAAATTGTGTTCCTTTTCTTGTTCCTCCCTTGAGGTGAATCCTCAGATAAAAAATTATCCAAAAATTTTTCTTAAACTTTTTACTTAAATGTTCCCTGCCAGTGTCTGTTCCGAAAAATAAATAAAGATAGGTCACCGTGCTCGTTCAAGCGCCAAAGGCCATTGTAACTCTTTATCTGGTCCATGATTGAAAAACATTACCGTTTTCTTGCGCGCCCCTTATTCGCCTGATAACGAGTTTTTTTTAAAGAGAAATACAAGATGCGCAGTTCTATATTGAGGAATCATCCTAGGAGTCACTGGATTAGAATCTTCTCCTTTTTATAATATTTTGATTGCCTTTTTTGTTCTCCTCTTTTTCTTCAATCCGTTTAAGGGGGCCGGAAGTTCAGGGCCTCCTCCTCCATAGTTATCAGACGTATTGGTTTTTTTTAACTCTTGGTTGACACTAAAATGCTTGCAACGACCGTGTCGTATTAGACTCCTCACCTGACTGAGTCTGTGCAGCAGAGCTGATTTGCTGCAAGTACGACCATGCTTGATTGTCTAAGCAATTAATTACTCTAATAAGTTCAATTTACGCCTGTTTAGATGAAGTCGAACCATTGATTTAAAAAAAAGGAAAAAGCAAGATGAGACATATGGCTCCTTTTAGTATGAATTCCTCTCCCTTTTCGCACCAGTTTGGTATCATTTTCACGATCATAACCTAGGGAACTATAGATCGTTTTCACACGACGTCACGATGGCCATATTGGTTACTGACCGAAACAATAGACTAACGGCCATGTTAGTGCTGCACCAGAAGATGTATAAAAGACCACCTTTTTTTTTTTACGGAAGCACCAACGGTGCATTGATTCAGGAGGTGAATAAATCAATTGCTCAGAAATACTAGCGTTATGTGCTCTAAATTTGATCATTGAGCACCAGGCAGAGTTGTAGATGTTTCATACCTTACTTATAATTTGTGAATAGATTCGCATCAAAAATTAAAGAAGATAACCCCGTAATGATCAGTGTCAGCAGCGATAGACAAAAACTAGTCTCTACCATGCTTACGAGAGCTTCAACACTTTCGAATGACGTTTTGAACGTAACCGGTTTTCTGTTTTACGCAAGCCTCACACCTAGTCATAATCATGCAGAAAAATAACCATTTCAGTTGGGCACTACACTTTCTTCATCTGATCCTTGATCTTGTCCCGAACTCTGAATAAATCCCATGAACGCAATCAGGCAGCAATTATAAGTTGCATGAATACCACTTTCCAGTTATCGTATTTAATGCAATCAAACGGATTAATGAACAGGCACACCTACAACTTTAAATAACAGGTAGCGGTAAATCTGGTAAATAGAATTATCCACCCGCTGAAGAATGTTTAAAAGAATAACCACATAAAAATGACATAAGAATGGTATTAGTTAATTGCCGCAAAAACTGAAACTGAGCAAGTGACTAAATTCAAGATGGCCTATCAAGTCTAATTGATGATGACCCAAAGAAGTTGTCGCAATCGTAAAAGTTTAACTACAGAAAAAAACTTAACGCTACTAAAGCAACCATTAAAATGATGATGTAAAATCGAATTTTGGGTATATTTGAAAGTAGCCCTTAATGAGAATGTGCTACGGAAGAAAAATGACTGAAATTGTTCCAAAGTTAAAGTAATATTGATATCTCCTTCATAACTTTCAAGGTAAATTTAATGTTTTCTTTTTCTGTAAGTGCTCTTTTAGGTGAGCCTTTATCATTCGCTCATCTAACACAAGGTAATATCTCATTCTTGATGTGCATCCACCCAATCTTCTTCTACATCAGCCTCAAAACTTTCTTGAGCATCGACCCAATTTTCTTGTAAATCCTTGGATTTCATAGCTTGCATGCGAAGATCAAACCACATAGAAAACAGTTCAAGGTCTTCACAAAATTCGTCCGCGTAATGAACATTTAAAAGATGATTAATCCGATCCAGCCTCGCCAATATCTCTGCTGCCTCAGGAAGAATATCCTTCTCGATCTCTGTGCTCGGTAGATCATGCCCAGAAATGTCTTCATTCGCTCCCTGACGGTCACCCCCACAACCCAGTAGTTCTTTCATTTTCACAAACATGAAATGTCCAAGATCAAATTTCCCTCTGGAGAGTTCCCTGATGCGGCCATAATTATAAACAAGGATACAAATGAAAATGTTGATGCATATAAGATTCACTGCCACTTTTATCGCCGTAAAGTAAGCTGGGCCAATGACTGTACAGCAATCATAAAAGTAGCTGAAACCGCCACCAACGACTCCTTCGACGAGAAGAGACTGTAGAATGATGAAAGGCGAAGAAAAGGAGTAAAGTTCGCTCCCAAACAGAACGTATCCTACATGAATACATCCAAACATGAAGACAGCGAATACAACCGAACACTGAACGAGTTCCCAAGTAGATACTTTCATTACATAAAATAAATGCCTCACGTGGGAATTCAACTTGAGCAAATAAAGCAACTTCAAAGTGTTCAAAAACATCAGTAATGATACTAATAGCGTTTCCAAATCTTGCAGAAGAATGCCTTTATCAAAATTGATAAACTGAAAAGTATTTTCTCTGAGTTTCGCTGTGGTAGCAAAGAGCTGTGTTTCTTTCATAATGTGAGAAATGAGAAAGCCAATGACTGCAAAAGTCTGCGTAAGTTCAACCCAGTTTAGAAACTGAGAGAAATAAATTCTAATTCCCGCAATCATTTTCCTCGTTTCCGTGACAACAAAGTATATAATATAAGCCACTAGTAACAACTGGCACGTTATGGTTACAGCACTATAGCCCCCGCCAATGTCATATATGTGCATAGTATGAATCACGTGATTAGAGACCACGAGACCACTTGGTGAAAATTCAGTAAGGATCCAAATCACGCTGAACAAATTTACTTGAGAGTTAAAAACCGTGAACTCAAAAATTATAGCACTGGTAAACCTGTCAGTCCAGTTAAACAGGTTGAGTTCAGAGATGACTTTCAGTGCTGTAGTTTTGTCATAGCCCAACTCGGCCAGGTAACCTCCTTCGCCATAAAAGTTTAGTAGATGAAGTTTTCCCCATAAAGGAAGACTTGATGTTTCTTGGGCAGATGAATAGTGCCAAGCACTTGGACAGACACGATGAGGACTGATGAGTGACTCATTCTTGGATGAGGAAAATAGACGCCATCTCGTTTCATGGAAGCTGGCTTTGTCCTCGTTACTGAATGTATATGAAACCACACATGAATTGAATTGGGTGGTCAGTTCCTCTATGCCGACGTCACAAGGACCTGAGAGCGAAAATTTTGTGTAGTATTTGTGATAGTGGACATACCGTGCATGAATCCTGTCATTATTTTATGCAGCTACCATGATAAATTTAGCTTTGTCCCCGCCTCAAAAGAAAGTGGGTAAATGGGTTTTAAGTAACCTTAATGAGGGGCAATTTTTTCTTTCTTTTTATTAACTTAGCAATTAATCAAATCAAATTCATAAACCTTACGATAGCTCACCCGAAGGGTAAGTCTTCCCCTATCATTCCAATACTCCAGCCTTTATGCGAGCTGCCCTTTAGAGGTTGGTTTTAGGGAGTTTCACACAACTTAAAATTTGGGATTTGCTTCGTGGAATATTGACGGAGCGTTTACAGCTGACCATTAAATCGGTCTCGTCGACGCAGTTAACACAAGCAGCATTTTTTTGGGTTTACGTTGATACAATTTCTTAAAAATACCTTCTTTGACTCGTAGCTGCCTAAGACGAGGCATCCCAACGAGAACAGCGTCGCCATCTCCAATGTAAGGACTGGAACTATTCAGTGTGAAGTATTTTCCATCCTCAAAAAGCCCTGGTACCAAAACGTCACGTACCCACTCCCATGTATTGAAGTGATTTGAAATCTACATGGTTCGGTGGGACAAAAAGAAAGTGTGTATAAATGTTCAAATAAAAAACACATATAAAAATATTTAAATATAAGAATATATAAATAAAGAGATAACTATAAATTATATGAAATACTGAAACTGAATAATAAGTGCGTTGAGATTGATCGTTGCCTGTAAGATATTCTCCTTGCTGTCTGAGCACTAATCACATGCCATCTGAGTTAGGACCACACGGCCGATAGTATTTCGTTGTTAAATCGCAAAGTAAAGGAAAAATAAACACATGGTAAACGAGGGCGTGTCTTTTTTTACGACAGCTTTGATAGTTATTCATTTCTTTGGCGCCTCTTCATTTTCATTCAAAAAAACTGTAACCCCCTCAAGTCTGCTATCATTACGGTGTTATTACATCCTTTTATATCAATGTAGTCAGCTGTGAGACAATAAGATTACTCAATTCACTTACCGTTTCAAGCTCTCCAAATATATTCTTCATGGATGATGTCATCAGGTACCCATGCTTGCTACGCCCACCGTAGCAAACAATCATAAGAATCAATAAGTAAAGCATGTAGGATCCTATTTTCCGAAAAGCCGAATATGTAAGTATCTCTCTTATTCGACTTTTCCTTGCACGACGTAGCTGTTTTTTGCTTAGAGGTTTTGGTATTTCAACTTCTTCCTCTTCGGCCTCATCATCTCCTAGCCCGCCAACTTTAATATCTTTAAGATCAACCTCGGGGTCGACAGAGCGAGGCATCCACGTAGATCTGTCAGTTTCTTCTTTGAAAATATGAGGCAGTATGAAGGCAACTACGATGATTTGAATAGGTTCTAGTACAAATATGTCCACAAAAATTGATATTGCAACCGACGCCAGCCATTGCTCACTTGTATCTGCACCCCACTGTAGACTGTAGAAGAGAACAAAAGCCGCCGCACAAGTCGAGAGGAGGAAACACAAGAGCCAAGGAATGAAAATAAACCACTGTGGAAAAGAAAAAGATTCTTTTTCTGCGTTAGTTTTGAGAGTCATTTGTTTGTTCTCATCTGACGATCGAGTATGGGCAAAAAGTTCTACAGTCAAAACATAGGTGGGAAAAATGACTATTAGGCTCTGAACTCCAATAATGAATCCTTTAAGGTTTACATCAAAACGACCCATCCTGAGAGATCCTTGAGTGTCGTCTACCATTGCTTCGTGCTGGTAAAACATAGCACTCGCCAGCATTGAGGTTAGCAATAGTGCCAGACAGCAAGATAAACGTTGGACGCGAGTAAACCGATACCTTGGTGGTCTTGTTGCCACAGATAACCAGACATGTGAGTCACTGAATTCTTCAGCAATTTTATTCTGAACATATACTGCAGAGTCGATTCCTTCATCGGTCGCGGAAGTAGAATGAAGGGTGCGGTCTATCAATCCTTCACCTTTGTCAACAGCTAGCCACGCAAAACACATAAAGTTCCACTGCTTCTTTGCGGATAGATCGCAGACCTTGATGTGGTTCAAAAACCACGATGGATTGGTGCCCGAGTTGTCATGCCACACGCGGACAGTTCTTATAGGGCCAATGCCGTCAGGAATTGAAAGAATAAAGGAAATAATACTGCCTCTTGCGAAAGAGATGCAAGAGTCGTGCTTTAAATGGAACGGTCGACTGGCACCTAACTCTCCCTCGAGTACAGTAAAAACGTTAGCAGTAGTGCCCGAGTTGCGCCAGATGCCTGTAGATACTTGAATCTCGACGAAGTAAGACAAAGGCGAAGGAACTCCTATGAGTGCACTCTCGCCCACCTGTAGGAAGAACAAATGGGAGAACTCGTTAAATTATGCTCAAGGTGAACACAATCTGTAACTGTTAGAAAAAGGAAATAAATTGAGTTCTAGAGAAGATATTGCTTATTTGCTATCGACTCTGAAAAGGTGCAAGTGGGCAAATGTAAGTCCATGATCAGCTATAATTGACTTAAGAAATATTGTTTCTTTATACGAATTAGCTCTCCTAGGGGTTTATCAAACTTCTCTTACCACAGCTGAATTCACCTTTCAATGAATCACAGCTTGGCGTAGAATTTCCATACTATTCCGTATTTCCGCATGATCTTCTGCCTCCGTATTTGAGTTGAGACTGCTATTTTCTTTCAGAACTCCTCATTTTCTTCAAAGAAAATTTAGAGAAGGCAAAACACTGCAGGTTGAAACTTAAAAAAAAATTTGCTCGTGGATGATTTTCTTGCGTCAACACTGGGCTTAATTTTATCACTAAAAATTATAAGATGAATAAGCAAGAACCAATCTCATTATCAACTTTAGAGAACTAGAGCATGTTTGTCCATGGTACATTGATAATGATTAGGCGTTATGTTCTTACCTTCATAAGATCTTCTTTGTCATTCTTTCGAGCCCACATCAACAGCACCAGATAAAGCCCAAACACACAGCTAATAATTATCATAACTGCTATGTATCCACTATCTGGTACACCAGCTAATTCGGTGAAAACTTTATCAAAATCGATGGGAGTGGGCGCCACAAGTAACTGACCTCCAAAAGCACTTAAGTGATCACAAGAGCAATGAATAGAATCTTGATTTGTCTTCTCGGTTACCTATAAGTACATAGTTTACATCAACCACAGAGACAATGCGCAAGTAATAAAGCATGATTGTATGTTTCAAGCTCCGTAGTTAAGGTGAGACAAAAAAAAAAATACAAACTACATAAAGACAGTAATAAACGAATTTAGAACGTGTTTTACATTCAATATAACGCCGCTTAGTTTACATTTTACAATTATGGTTATCATAACTTTTCTTATCTCACCCTGCATCCCTCTGATGTCCACCGGGATATTTCCGCGTTCCAGAACAGGCAGGCAGCCGGCATCACCTGAATGGTGTAATTTTCATCACCTTCACGGTAGTGAGGTACACTGTAACTTGCACCATTGGTGGGCGGTTCCTTGTACTGCACACAGGACCGCTTTGAGCAGCGTCTTATGCGCGACTTCGCAGAAACTCGTGACACGGCTGTCAGTCCGACAAAATAGTATCCGAGACCTTTCTTTTCGACAAATTCCTGGTTCATAAACACCATATACGGATCGCGTGAGCAATTGAGGTGCCCATCTGGCATCCCATCGCAAGATGAAAGGTCAGGTATTGTTAAATTTAAGTCGTTATCACTTGGAGACGGCCGCTCTCCATACTTTACAGTCACCAGAAACTCTGTTTTGTTGCTTTCCGGACGAATCTTTAGCATCAAAGCCATCCCTAATCGGGTGACATTTATCTTGTAAAATACAGTTCTGTTCGCTCCAATGTAATGAGACTGAGATGTGTTAATGAAGACCTGGAGGTTCTGCAGTTTAATAGTAATACGCGCGTTCAGTTCCGTCGTATTCAAGAGATGCCCAGAACTATTCCTAAGTTCAAGGCTTGAAACAGCAGTCGTTACCCTTACTCCCGTCGGGTCCCAAGAGAACGGTGTGAAGTCTGCAGTTACTATCTGCAGACATAGATAAAAGATTTTAAGGATCCATTTTAAACGACCGTCATGACAGTTGGCGCGTAGCAAATTACTAAAATGTCGTGTTCTTTTATTCAGTACCTCTTTCCCCGTAGTTGCACGAGAATTAAGACTTTAAAGTTTGCCAAAGGAATATCAGCTGTACCGCTTTCTCAAAAGACAAGGGGCATGGTAAACAGTTCATTATGTAATGCAATTTTGCACGACCAAATTTTGATTTTAGGTCGCCAAATAGTGACTCTGAAAGAGAGCAGAGCTTGGAGCGCGGGAAACAATTACATGTTTTGAGGAATCTGTCCAACGCCAGAACTGAAAGCAAGCTCCTTTCGCTGCTATCACCTACTACCTTTGCAGTGACAACGAGGTACATTAGTGCAACAGGACACGACCTTACAGACGATCTCAAAACTTTTAACAATGCGTTCTACAACATAAATAGCGGCGAAATATTTGTAATGAAGTTGTTTTCTATGCAACGTAATAACAGTTCAAATACCTACCTGGCTATCTACAAAGTAGGTATTATTTTCTAACTTGATGGGTAATGAAGAAAGCTGAAAACTGTTTCCTTTGTTTGACAGAATAGTCCCAGTGAGCAAATTGGGCTCTTCTCGGAACACTAACAGAGACATGGCCTGCGCTGGAAGCTCTTTCGGCTCCTCGCCAATGAGAGTTCGGGACAAAATCGCACTTCCGACATCCTTCAAAGAATGGAGTATACTTTCAACATGGATTCGAGCCTGAAACACAAATATTCATAAAACAGTAGTCGCTGTCACCAGTACATAAAGTCAGAACTTATAATAGCTTTTTTTAATTTTGTGATGTGGTAATGAACGCTGAGATTGGCCAACCCTTTACCAGGGAGCTCAAGCGGCATATTGTTTCGCGCGATCTCGATCTTTGTTGTTGCATGAGATGCAGAGTCAAAAAAGCTTCGAAAATTCTTTTTATGTTGTTTGTCTGCAAATGTTTTCACTTTCCATGATAGGCCCGGGAGATCATTGATCTGTGTAGGAATGTGAATAGACATCAGTACAACGTTCAAAATTTTAACGTAATCCTTTTATATCCAAGTCAAGGGTTCGTGGTGGAGAAGTCTGTAATAAGTTGTTACACCATAATTCAGTTCCATTCAAATTACCCCTCTAGGAGCTGAAATGAAAACTGTATATTCCGAAGAATAAAACTGAAATATTGAAATTCCGAAAATGGAAATTTAAGTCTTAAAAGCGACGGAATTACCTTTCGAGTAAAGAAAAATGCGATTCTTGAAAGCGACATGAACTATCGGGCAAAGAAGGGGAAATAAGCGAGATTGCGCATCAAGAAAACGCTGAAACAACTGTAATGGAAGCTGAAAAGGCCTTAACAGAAACGTTTCACCGCGAAATGAAGATAAATGATTTTTAAATTTATGTGACTTACAGGATATCTTGGTTTCTTACATGTTCTCCTCGGCCCATCGTGGAGCAAACAAAAAAAGATCAAGGCCGTGCGAAACGGGATGAAGCGTAATGTTTAACAACTTTAACATTAAGGACTTCTGCACGAACCCACCAGTTATTGTAATAAAAGGTTTTCTTTAAAATTTTGCACCCTCAGATGTCTACAGTCATCTTGACATTCCCATAAATATCAATGATCTCCGTTGCCCATCAGAGAAAGAGATAAGGTTCGCTAACAAAATTTTTTCGGCTCTGCAGCTCGAACAACAACAACAAACATAGAGGCCGCGCGAAACAAAATACCCCTTGAAAGATTTGGTACAAGGTTAGCCACTCCCAACATTCATTTCGATGTAGTATTAGCAAAGTTACGCATTTGAGATGCCGGCCTAAATCCTAGAGTGTCACCACCAGATTAGCAGTCAAGATTTGAGCGTTGCTTTTCATGACAATTAGTTTTAAATTAAAATGACTCTCTAACCCGAAAAAATCAAGAAAAAGTTCAAATATTAGGTAGAGACATGCAGGGCAATATTCTGCTATGGTTAAGTACTCCATTGAGAAGTTTTGACCCAAAGACTTCATATGTTTTGGAAACCAGCGGAGCTGGGTAAAAGATATATTGTGTTCTATCCTTCACTCCTATCTATATTTCTTTTCCTATCTTGGGTTTTCGCACTCGTAGTTCTTTACCTGTAGCTGCGCGTCTCTTTCGGTCCTTCTTTCCAAAGTATGCAGCAAAGAAGAAGTTCTTGACCTGAATCTTTTCCCACGGCTCTTGTGTGAGAGCTGTTCATATGCATCTACGAAACTGGCTTTGATTTGAAACTTTCCCTGTGACTGCGAATCGTATATTCTAGCTCCATGTGCTGCTACCCTAAGCATGCTACCTAGACCATTTACAAGACTTTTTGCGCCATCATAAAGCGATTCGTATCTTTCCCCAGCTTTACTCCTCGCCTTTAATACTAAAGTCATCTTTTCAAGCGCTTTCGTTGCATCTTTCTGAAATAAGTTCAAAGGACCAGAATAATAAACGACTTGTATCCGATTTTAGCGAAGAAAATGGTCCTCGCCTAAAAACAAAGCATTCCTTGGTTAAAGGGGGTAAGTTTCTAAAGAAACTGTGGTTCTGCGTCGGTGGGAGAGTACAACAGGTAATTTGGTGATGATTTTAGATATATGAAATTCATATATTTACACTGCGGTGAAGAAACGAAATTAAGAGATCCTCGTAGCTAAGAACACTACTGAACTAGTAGTTGAAAATAGGACCTGAAAAAAATTTTCAGGCCCGTACGAGATTTGAACCCATGACCTCTGCAATACCGGTAGAGCGCTGCACCGGTATTGCTGAGGTCATGGGTTCAAATCCCATACGGACCTGAAATTCGTTTTTCAGGTCCTATTTTCAACTACTAGTTCAGTAGTGTTCTTAGCTGCGAGGATCTCTTAATTTCGTTTCTTCACCGCAGTGCAAATATATGAACTTCATATATCTAAAATCATCATTCATCACTTGGAGGGTTTATTTGGACCCAACACATTGACCATTCCTTGGTTATTTGACAGGCTATTTCGGAGTTGCCTTTGGCCTCTTTTTCAAAACGAGGCCCGGTGCTCATCCATTCGTATGAAAATGAGTCAAATTTATATGTGAATGAAAACTTATAATCATATGAAAAGATAAAACACCAGGACTCACTTTGAAAACGAGGCCAAATCATATGAGAGAATAACATAAGGACTCGCTTTCAAAACGAGGCCCAAAGTAATCCAGAAATGAGCAATTACCTGCGCTTGGACAGTAACCTCGTCAATGGCCGAACTAGCGCAGGCGATCACATTTGCCACCTGCTGAATTCTGACAACAGTCTCCGCTGGGATAGCTGATAATTGTTCTATAATGTTTGATTTCATCTATAGCAATGAAAAAAAGGAAAAAATTAACTGAGGTGCTCAAAACATACTGAAATAAATGAACCACGGTTTTCAATAAATAAGGGTGAAACTTCTCACACCAAAAAAAATTAATTCTCAACGGAGGTGTTTCTGTTAATTGATTAAAATTAATTAGGTGAGCTAAATAGGCAACTGCCTCTTTCTGGAAAGCGGTACAATACTTTTAGGAAGGTTTATTATGGTAATGTTGCAGTTTTTAAACATCAAACTGGCACGGATAACTTAAAATTTAGTACGGGGTTGCACTTTCCTTTTCCCCTTTTTTGAGAGTGTAGTGTTCGCAGAAAACTCAACCTGGCTTAATGAAGACGCTGGTGGGACTGAAAAAATACTGAAACTTTAAATGGTTAAAAATTCCTGCCAAAGACATTTCAAGAGGTTTTACAGGCGTTGTATTACAGGGAGTATTTCATCACAGAATATATTTACCGTGATCCGTCTCTCTGCCAAATCGTGGGCCTGACTTTCTGTCGATTTTTCATACGTAATGCCATGTATGACCGAAATGGCTGCCGCCGTCAATTGTACAGCACTTGACAAGTCACCGGATTGGATCAAATTATTGAGTTCACTCTCATCTCCAGTTGTGAGGTTTTTGACAACATCGAGGAGGTTTGCTGGTTCAATGCTGGGTTCTGTGACCTACAATTAAAACGAATACAGCAGTCTGTACACAGTTTATTTGAGCAAAATTGTATCACGACAGAAAATATTGACTAAAACGAAAATAATAAAAAATGCAATAAATACGTAATGATGTTTCTTTGACGTTTCGATTTCTTACCTGCACGGGAGTTTTCACTTCAGTGTACACCCCTAAAACGTCAGCCACTCGTACGCGAAAATCGATAGTAAAATTACTTTTCTTCTCTCCGGCAGGAAGTTTGATTGTTAAACTAGTTTTCACTCCTTTGTATGCCACGTTAAGAAGATTGTTATCTGTGAGATAAATATATTCATACTGCAACTGAAGATCTGGATCCTGCCAACTATCACAAGCAAAAGTAAACTCTGTTATAAGAGCGACTCCTGATATTGGGCTCACACTGCACACTCCTCCAACAGGGGGGCTGTTAGAGGTCACGTGGTACTCGGAATACCCGCGGTTTCCACCTGGTCCTTGTGCAGTCAGTATAAACTTATAACTGATATCGGGTGTCAACACTTCACGCCTAGTGACGAGGGATTTTGATGAAACTCGCGTACTTATCAATTCCTGTATTTCTAAAACTTCAGTCCACTGAGAACTTTTTGAAGAGTTATTCAAGTCTTTTAAAACTATCCACTTGAAGATAAGGTTACCATGGCATGAGTCACCTGTACACATGCCTTGTAAAGCCATTCTCCCGGATGGGTTCAGTTTAGCATCGCAGTTTTCAACACACCTGCAGGTATTTTGATAATAGTATTATCAAAATATTTTCTTCTTTATTCACTAGGAGTAAATTCTATACTTTGAAAATGTAGAGATCTACAGTCGAACCTCCACTGAAGGCCACCACTAAATACCATACAAGCTTTTTCCGCTACGGAAAAGTATTTTGTAATATTTTCAGTTGAACATTTACTGTTTGTGTCGTTTCGAATAATATACTCATATTCCTACAAATGTTCAGGCATAAAAGTACGTCCTTATACACATTCCAAGCATGTCATGTTTGAAATAATCAGGGCTTAATTTACTATTCATGATAAAGGATATTCTTCACGGGAAAACCTCCGTCATTGTTGTCTTGAAGGTTTTAACAATGCCCGAGGTTATTGTAATTTTTTTCAGATCGGTTTTGTAAACATAATAACTGGTAAAGTACAAGCGCTGGTTTCTTATGTTTCGCTGAGATACCTGATTTGCACTTCCGGTGGATCGCCGGGAACGATAAACACTTCCTGAGTGAACTCAGCTTGCCTTTCATCCTTTGTAACCTGTACTGTTATGAAGTATGAGGTGTTTTCTGCCATGAGACTGTTGTTTACTCTAAGTTCATGTCCAACAGATTCTTTATCATCAGCTCTGTAATAACATCGTGCTTCATCTAATTTATAAGGTTCTTTTTGTGACTCTTCTTTGCACAGCCATGTAAAATTAAGCCCTAAAATAGCATAACATGGAATGGAAGGGGATAAATAATGTCAATAGCACTCACTTCAATCCGTTTGTCATTCAGTCAGTGAGCTAACCAGCCAGTCAACTAGTCAGTCGCTCAGTCAGTCATTTTAAAGTCATCCTGAAACTTCTTCTAGGGCCCGCTGGAACTTCTTTTAGGGGGCCCCATGAATCAAGTTAGGCCAACCTATAAGGCTCATTTAATTCTGAATTCGCTTCTGATCACTAGTAAAAGTTTGTTATCAAGAATGGAACTTTATTGCTTACTAACCTGAAAACTTTAGCTTCTTCTCATCTGGATCATACGATGGGGATGCATCAAAAATCAATGTTCTTTCCAGTCCTCTGGCCACCTTACTTCCTCCAGCAATAAAAGCAGCCAAAGGACTACTCACCACCTTGAAATAACCCCTACTGACTCCAAACACCGCTGTTCCTATCATGCTGACGTTGAGTTGGACCAAAAATTCACCAACTGGCAATAAGTGTGGTGTGATCTGCAATTCTGAGGAGCTATTTCTTGAAAGTAATGGTGTGTCTTCTTTACCCAGGTGATACACCCGCCAGAGAAACAATGTTTTGTGCGATAACTCGCAATTCATTTTGACTTCAGATTGGATTACAAACTGTCTGGAGCTGTGAAAGCTTAAGTCTGAGGAAGCATTTGGTGAGATATTTGACAGGCTCACATCTGGGCTTTGGCATGGAATGTCTGATTGAAAAAAATAGATACAGTGAAATAAGCATGTTTCTCAGATACCCATGATTTGTTAAAAATTTAATCTTCTAAAGTCATAAGGACTTAAATTCTGGGTGCTGTTTGAAACAATGATTAGTTCCTGTCAAAACAGAGAATTGGAATAGTGCGTGTGTGGAGAACCAATGAGATATTAGGAACTATGCAATCAGCCTCCTTACCAGATTGTCTATTAGATATCTACCTGATCAGTAATTTGAAGCGACAAATTATCAGTTTAATGATGTTCTCCTGTATGAAATTAGATTTTATGTCTTACTGACATGTAGTTAGAATAGAAAAGTGTATTAGTCAAACGATTTCGACTTGATATAGCACCAAACTCTAAATCCAACTAATGAGTAATTAAAGTAGAGTCAAACTTTCTATAAGTTAAACGATATTTTCCTGATATGAATGTCTAACAAACTGTTTAACTCATCGTGGGCTTTAGTAATGGCAATCCTTAGATCAACTAAGCCTTCGGTGTTTCCATTCCGAGTATCTCAGACCATTCCAAAAAAAAATTTCAATAATATAATACATATGATTACAAGAGTGGTTGAATCTTGAAACCTTAGAATTAATTGCTATATATAGCTGATTTTAAGAGGTATTAACTGAATTCTTTTCCAGAGGATCCATAGAAAAGAGAATACTACACAGAAAAACACTTTTCAACACTTATCTCATTCCTTCAATTAAAATTTTCCTTTTTGAAACTGCAGGGCTCTAGTTGTAATCCCCCATGGGTAACTCCAAGATTCGCACCTCAACGCAGTAAAACATGTTTGAAGCAAATGGTTCAGTCCTATTGATCGCTGTGAAAATATCGCAGAAAAAATGCACACCACTTTTTTTCAATTCTTCTTCGTTTATTCCTGTGCTCAAGATTCTGGAAGTATAAAATTCTCCTACTTTGAAAAGTTGTGAACAAGGCGCGAATCAGTGAAAGCGTGACCTCCTATAAACAATAACAAAAATAAAACCGTAAATCATAATTTTACTATGGCGCACTACGACACGTTAATAAAATGTCTAGCGAGCAACATACAAATAAAATTCTGTTGTGTTTATTTTCGACCTTGATTTCTCCAACACGTGTAGTTCAGTTGATTTGCGAGTTGTAAGTATTTTCGATTCGGTTAAGCAATAAATATATTCGGTCAATAAACGATTTTCGAGTTTATTAAAGTTAGTTCGGGTTTAGTTCTGCGTCTCTATAACTTTAGTTCAGGTTTATTTTCCGCGTCGATGACGACTAGTTTAGGATATATCATCCACAATCGACCTGTTTAATTTGATCATGATTTCGTTTTATCGATGAAATAAATTAAGCGTGTAAAGGTTAAATCTCGTTAGTTAGCACTTCTTAATACATATATGTTATTTGCCGGCTGGGAGGTCCGTATGGTGAAAAACTGTGACCGAGGTCTTGAAAATACTGCCCGAGGCCGTAGGCCGAGGGCAGCATTTTCAAGACCGAGGTCACAGTTTTTCACTATACGGACCGACCCTTAGCCGGTAAATAACATATTTATTGTTTTTAAACTTGACGAAATTCTTTCCGAGAGAACCCGAATGACTTATGGCCGTAAATACGGCAAGATCTTCCATAAACTGAACAATTTTTGAGTGAGTAAATGGTAGTTAAAATAGAGGTGATGCAAATTTAAGAGAGATGCCTCAGCGAAACATTTTCATTTCCGTAACGATAAAGGTGATTTAAAAGGCTTCCAAACAAACTTTGAAACATTATTTTTACAAGTATCTGTCGCAATCTGACACCTGTCAATTAGAGAGCGCGCAAGAAAAAAAAATCGTAGGAACATTTGAAAACCAACAGAACTAGTTTGGCAAGGCCTGTCACGACAATGTTTTCTTAATATCAGTTAATGATCTAACGGAAAGTATTATTTACTCTCATCGACCATTCATTCATGTACGAAGATTTACCTCTGTTCATTAAGTAAACGGCGAGGAAAGTAATTGTGAGTAAATTCAATTTTTTATTTTGAAGTTGTGAGAGTTTGCTCGTTTGTTTGCTGTAATGGCGTGTTTAACTCTGATCTTTCCTTCACAAAAACTAAATTCGAACGGCACACTCCAACGAGAAGTTGAGGGAATTTAATGCAGCCTTTTCTCAATTCCTTCAATTTCTGTTGTGCAATTTAAGGTACAAATGTCCAAATTGAACGGAATTGGAAAGACTCACCAGGAGCGTATATTTGTTATAGAACTTAAATTAAAACTTCGCTCGCTTTTTTTTTACTATGAACAAATTGCTCGAGAAAATTCAGATATTAAATGAATGAAAGTTCCATCGTTCAGTTTAACTGTAACCAAATACCTCACGTTTCAACTTTCTGGGTACTTTTTGTGAACGATTAAAATTAATTGCAGACGGTTTTTAGGCCGCTTGTCAACCAACGTAATGACACTATTGTTTATACAAATTCATTCTGAAACCAATATTTTTCTGTCAACCAAAGTGATTTGATAGAGAGAAAAGGGAGGATTCATAAGTTATTTATCGGCTTGAGGTAGTGACCGACGTGTTTGCTTAAAAAAAAAAAACCAGGTATATTTATGAAAAATGACAACGAAAGTTGGGATGTACTCGGCGACTCACGAAAGCGTTACCGTGGCCCGTGGGCAGAGATCGGAAAATACTGACCGGGTAAAGAACCAATCAGATTGCAAGATTCGTTACCGTGCCCTCTAAAGAAACAATAAGCTTTAAAATCCGATAGGTTGAGTTAAAGAAACATTGCTTACGTTGGATATATGTCTCGTGTGTAATTTAATGGTTCAACGCGACCTTGAATGATTCAGAATTAGGTCGTGTCTACGGTGACATTTCACTATTGAAGGTCGGTAGCTAGTGTAATTGTAAATGCACCAAAAGGGTTGTTCGATCGAATGTTACCTTCAGCGCTTCTTAAAAATAAGCCATTTTGATATGTTAACATGAAAGAAGGCAACTTTATTTTCGTGGTAATCATGAAAATAAAGGCAAATAGTCACAACATAAAGGAAATATATTTTACAGGAGAGATTTGTCATTAAAAAAGTCAAATGTATTGCTGTCTAAGTGATTAATTTTGATAACTCACATCTTGTAGAGGACCACTGAGAAATTTAAAAGCAACATTTAATTAAATAGTTCTTGCCTTAGCTTGTAAAATGAAGAAATGAGATAGAAAAAGAAACTAAATATTTAGCAAAGCCCCGTTGAAGATTCCTAGAACTGACTAAGATGGAAAAAAGGCTTCCTTCCAGAATTTGTGATTAAAAAATGTTCTCCTCATTTCTCTTGATCTATGCAACAAAAACCACCCTGTACATGTACAAAAATCTGAAATTCTCCTTCATCTTTTCAGGCTTGCCCCGTGGATTTAAGACTTTGATACATAAAACCATTCAATTGATGAATTGGTTAGATATTCACTCTAAAATAAAACATTCTTGATTTGAGTTACATCCTAGACCTTAGGGCAGAAGTACAGTCTCACTATAGTCTCACTATATCAGTCTCACTAGTTTGTCTGATCTGAGAAGGCTCCTTTCAATCTTCCCGGCTTATATAAAGAATAAAATAATGCTGTTCATGTTAGAATTGCCAATCTGCCTTTCTTCTCTTTTCAGAAATGAAAACTGGAAAAGGGATTATCTTTATCAAATGTGAGAGCTCCAAATTAGAGTACCAGCTAGCATCAATGAGTAGTGTTAATCAGATGTTCTTATAAAACTGTAAACAACCTTCAATGAATTTTCACTTCCTTTCCATAATTCTTAAGATACATGCATGTACTTTTAACATGAAAACAATTTTTCATTGATGTGAAATTATTAGGTGAAGTATATTCAGTTCTCAACGATGTGAACAATGTGGGGTATTGAACTTTTCACTGAATTTTTTTACTTAGCAAATTTCACATGCTTATTTATTTCTTCTACATGTATGAATATTAAGTATGGGAACACTGTGGTAAGAATTCCCACCTTTTCCCATAATGTTTCACACATTGTTTCACTTTTCAATACATGTTATTTAAAAGTGTGAGTTTTTTATGTGAATCACATTTTTTAAAATCACATATTTTTAAACTTCTGATCACAGTTTTGACAAGGTTGAAAAAGTGTGATTTAAAGTGAGAAACACTTATAAATATAATATGTGATCACACAGTTTGTTTGCATGAGATTTTATGTTATTTTTAATTAAAGAAAAACATTTACACATTATTTTATGGCTATTTCAAAGTATTTCATTTCTACTTTTATTAATACCATTGTTATTTATATAACATGTACTTTTACCTTGTAATTGATTGCTATTTTATAATAATGCTATTTTAAGTGTTTTTCATTTCAGTTACATCTTTTGGCATCTTTTCCCTATTTTCATCCTACATTTTATAGCTATTTTTGAAGGAAGTTTTCACTTTTAAGCATTTTTATACTACTGCTATATATAGAAACTTGCTATAGTTGGTATCAGGTTTTTGTTTCCATGTGAATGACAAGAGTTTGTAAATTGAAAAACACATTGTAAACACATTTTCATGTCACAAATTCACTTAGGTAAATTCTTAACTAAAATTCTAAGCAGTTATGTTTGTTATGGAAATTTATCAAAGTACACTTCCTGACCACACCACTAAATAGGTAAAGGGTAAATTCTGCTCCCAAGCTACTGCCCTTTCTGTATGGGGTTTACTTCCTTAGCAATAAGCAACTTAGAGTATTTCCTCTTGGTTCTCCCCACAAAAGGGGTGGTAGTTCATCAAATGTTGACCATCAACATTTTTTTAAATGTCTCCCTGTCACGTTTATTTTAACCTTATATTTCAACTTTACACCTGTTGCTGTCTAATTCTCAACCCAGTACTGATCAACAGTGATGGTCACTAGATATTTTTCTTGACTATGCAGTAGGTTGGGATATTTCTGCCTCAACCTAACATGTACCGCAAGATTGCTATAAGCCCCTAGCCTTCTGTCCTGCCTGGTCTCACCAGTAGTTTTCTGTTATTTTTTTCTTTTTAAATCCCCAGGCCTCATGTCCTGGCAAAGTCTAGCTTAAGGTCAAAACTACCCTGGGTTTTGGCTTTTGCTTTGACACCAGTCTTCCATACTGCATTAAGTAAACCCAGGTATTTCATGTGGATATAGTATTAAACTATTCCACAATACAAGAATTGACATAACATTGATTCTATATGTGAACTTACTTGATGCTGTACTTCCTTCTATTTCATCTGTGTAAGGTCCTAATTTGTCTCCTTCCCAGTATATTCCAGCAACTTGAATTTTATACCCAGTGCTTGCCTCAAGTTTGGTTATTTCAGCTTCAGTTTGATCAAAATTCACCCGCATGTCTGCATAATCATCACTGCCAGATTTTGCATATTTTATCCTGTATCCTGACAGAAGTCCATCATAAATGGGGTTCCAATTGACAGTGATTGATGTTTGGCTTGTTTTGACCACCTTGAGGCCTTTTGGTGCTAGGAACATCACACAGATTATGATGAATGGGATTAAGTCGATCATAATCATTTGTTCAAGTCACAGGCTCACTTAAAACAAATAGTGAGAATTTTGAAGCTAAATTCTTATTTAAAATACTCAGTGATAAGAAAACAATTTTGTCTTAATTGCAATTACACATTTATCTAAATCAACATTGCAAAGGAGTCTTGACACAATCCAGGAATCATTTTCAGGAATTAAGTTGTGAGACACATTCATTTACTTATTACTAAACACCACAACAGACAGAGGCCTGTTTTGGGACCAGACAGTTTATTAAATGTATATGTCCTATGTTAATAACACACTAGACTATTACATGACAAAGATATTAGACAAATAAATAAGACCAACGGTCCAGTAATCAAGAATAAATTACAGACACAAATGAGATTAAGATTATAATCAAAACTGTTGATGGTGTGGGTGGGAGGGAAACTAATACTTTCTTAAAGCTAGAAATAAGCTTTTTGCTTGCTTGCTTGCTAGATCACTAATAACACATGCACAGATACCTGAGCAGTAATACTAAAGTAGATTTGCGATTTAAATGCATTAGTATAGTGAATAGCCATTGGCCCTACCAGAGTCTTATGACTTATATGCTGAACAAAATGCTCAATCTTAAAAAAAAGGAAAAAATACTAATTTTCACCCCACCTGTACCCAGTAATGAACTGAAAGAAACAACAGATTGAATTTCAATTGAAAGCACAGACTCCTATAAGTGATCTATGGAGATCATTTTTACGTCATTCATTTTCTAAAAATAATGCAAAGAGGTGTGAAGATCCATATCTTCATGCAAATGAGATGCTAATACACTATGCACAATGGAAAATTTTTCGAGGAATTTGTACTATTTTTACCTTCTCTTTCCATCATAACTTGCTGAATGAGCATGATCAACACAACAGTGATTAAAAACTTCTCCATGTTCCAAATCTCTTTGTACTTTATATAGCACTCCCACTGACAGTACAATTTTCTGAACTGAAATAAATGTATTAAAAAAAAAGTCTCTTGACTTACAATTTCAGAACTCTTTTAAGTGTGCTCGACCCCAGCAACACAGAGTGCCCAGGCTGTATATTGAACATGCATATTGTGCAATTAATTAGGACTGCAACAAAGAAACTCGCAAGCGCAAATACCAGTTAGATCTCTATATTCTCGAAATTTTGGCTTCTCTTGCTTCTACTAAAGGACAATGTGCTGGTCTAATTCAGACTGAATGTAGCCCGAGAATTAATTGATTAATTAATGAACATGCACGTTTTGCAAAATTAGGGATCTCTATAGCTCAGAAGTTTTGCTTCTGCTTAATTACAAAGTGCTTTTTTACTTCATACTAAATAGCACGATAGCACATTTGCAAAGTTTATTTCTCTGTTGAGCTTATCGGGCTGCCATCGTTATGTTTCAAAGACATTTCTTTAACGAGACAAAACTAGCAAGTGTAAAAGTATAGGAAAAGAGCAATTTGAGCTCTCAAACATTCCTGAAGTACATTTGTGGATTAAGTATAAGAGGAAGAGCTGTAAAAGTAAAGAAAAATTTCTCACCTGAGTAACAATAAATTCGTCGAGAATCCCATCCAGGCGATTTCTTCGCCCGAGCAGCTTTGAAGGAGACGCGACACGCAAGAAATGGCGGGAAAATATTGTGTAGTCCCGTGTGGAAACCCTCGGAGTGCTAGAGTCGATTAAGCCTAGGCACTAGTATTCCTTTAACTAAGTGTGGATCACGCTATATTTTTCGGCTTTTTGGGGAGGCTTCTGATCGTAAATACGTTGAGAATTGGTTCACTTTCGGTGAGTTTCGTGTTTAGTTTAGTATGACTGCTTCGTCCACAACACTTTTTTGACAGCCTTTCGGAAGTTTCTCCCTAAAACACTGACTCATGGATTTCCTTCCCTGCCACTAATAGCCTCCTCGTCCGATTTATTAGTAGAGGTTTCGTCCAACCTTGACTCCTCAGTGCTCTATTCTTTATGACCTGCATGCTACGGAAAATATTTGTATTAAAAACGCCTTTTTCTAGCAGCCAAGGCAGAGGGTAGAGATGAAGACACCTGGCCGATTTCTCGATTAACTCAGCGTTGATGGCCTTGCGATGCTTGTACATCTACTGTTATTTATATTGCCTCAGACACCTCTCCAACTAACTTTTTGAGGTAAGTTTTTTCGAGAGGTAAGTATGCCCGTGTTATAAACACATCTCCTTTATTTTTTTCACCCTTGTTTTTCAATATTTTTTTCTACACGATTACCAATGCGAGATGGAAACTTTCTTTTCAGGTTTATCAGGGTTATTGTTAGCTTACTTTAGGTCTTGAAATTCTTCGTGGAGCACCTTTACTCGTTCTAAAGCTTCCTGAAATTATTTCAGCTCGTCACTTGAAAAGGGTTTTGGAGTAAGGTCTTCTCTATAAAGGCCTTTGCTGTCGATGAATGAGAACAACTCTACTGCGAATTTCAACGTATTAATTATAGTGGCCAAGCAGGACTCATACTTGACAAAGTCATTGCAATTATTGCATCAACGCATGCAATAATTGTTGTGATGTTTCTCGTTTCTTTCTCGTTTCTCGTAAGATTTTTTTTTTCTATCTGACATATCATTTATTTTTGTGTTTAGCTGACAGTGCATTAGCTGTTGTTGAAGGAAATACCATTTGAATCCGCCTTGTTCACCACAAACTTCAATCATTTGGGGGGGGGGGGGGGAAGGTGGGTCATGAAGTCTTCCACCGCCAATATGGGGGAGCGAAAAAACACTGCATACTTTAGGGGGGATCACGTAAGTGCTCTACTGTCGCAAAAAAATCCTCACTTCTTTGCAGAGCAGTGTTTGTTTCCAAAAACGCCATGAAAATGGTGATCAGAATAGAAATATATTCGAGTGACGACTCTAAAGGCGTTGTACCTTCAACGGATTCTCAAAATATGCCATTTTGATGTTTCTACAGGTGATAAAAAATCGGGTAACTTTACTTTTGCATTGGGCATCGGGGAATATGACTTTCGGGCGACTTGACCGTAAATCTCCGACACAATAATTAGTGACATCGGGTCAAAATCGGTAGAAAAATTCGTATCACGGTGATGGACTTGAATCTCGTCGGCTAACATAGCATGCATATCAATGTGGGATATTAGCAATCCTGAGGACAAAAAGAATTATTAGCGGGGCCACATGCATGTCATTACATTACATAGTTGAGTACTTCAGTCAACAAATAATTTGAAACGCTATGCAGTGAGGCTTTTTAAGCAGAATCATCACGCTGTATACAAAACTGAGGTATTTAAAATATCACATCAAATGTGATGATCTAATGAGCAGTTGTTTGTTTCTTGCTAATTAGCAAATGCTACTTTACCTTGACTCCTATTTTATTGAACAACACTATAGCAAGGTACTGAATATTCAGGAAAGGTGTAGACGAGTCAAAGGCTATAACCAATGTTCGGATCGAACTCTGAAAGGAATGATGCGTTTTTAACCGCTCAAAAAGGGTTAAAAACTATTCATAAAATAGTCAAGACTAAGAATGTTTTGCGACATTTACGTTGTCGCATCGTTGACTTTCGTTATTTCCGCGACATCTGCACAACTTCGGCCGCAAGAGCATGGTAATGATGATTTTAGTTATGGAGATAGCGCTGGGAGCAATTTCGAGTCCGCAGCTTTGTGCTCAGAAGCGGGGAACTGTACATGTCTGTTCCAAAAGTTTCATGTGATTGTGAAGTGCACCTCTGCTGGTGATAAACTTGAAGAAATTGCAAAGGACCTTCCAAAAACGACGACGCACTTGTAAGTAGCGAAAGTTTTCATAAGTCCTAAATTATAAACTATCCGTTATTTGCATATTCTACTTCCCGCAAATTTGTCAGAAATAAACAATTCTACGATTGTACGAGAAAAACTAATGCATCTGTAGGTCTCAACTGAAGACAGATTTCTGCATAACCCCAATCTTTATTATCTGTATAAATCTTTGATAAAAGAAAACGCGGCCAAAACAATAGACTATACTTGGGACTGAAGCTTTTGTTTTTGAAGATTACAAGGTTGTATGGAAATCTTTCCGAAACTGCCCGTATAATCAAAGAGCTTGCCTTTGTAGCTATAGCATTACTGCTATGGTCAATACAGTTAATAGGACATTCGCCCCTCGTTTATCCTGTTTAACAAAGCCATTTTACCTTGTTCTGACTCCTAAATGCCATGCAATTTCACTCTTTGAGAAAAATACCAAAACTGACCGAGGTAATTAAGGAGTGCAATTTATATATCCCTTCCCTGCCTCTATTGCTCATTACTATTACTATCATCATTGTTTTTATCGTGATAAGTATGATAATACATCTTTTTTTTCATGTACATTTCAATAGAATTCTGAGGAAAAACGGAATGTCTAATCTTGTGTCTCTGATGGTTCTTATTAACTTTAAACATCTTCAGGTTCTGTAAGTAAAACATCTTTCTGATTATGATTCACAACAGGGTCCAACAGGAAGTTTTCGAGTTTTATTTGTTGTGGAAGGCTTTGGGCAAAAGCGAGGTTTATCATAAGCTAACCAGGCAGGCATGCTCAGCCAGAAAACTCTGATTTTAGTTGTGAAGAATTTATAAATCGTCCGTCAACAGATGTCTTTATAAAGATTTAGTTCCTCTGTTGTTAAGGTACTCATGAAACCTTCAACAATTTCGACTCAGCGACAACATGGAAGACTTAGAAGTGCATTAAACTGGAAAATGACAAAATGGTTCGAAATAAGTAAAACTGAGGCGGCAACTACATAATGATGAAAGCTATCGAGAAACGTATGCTGGTGCTCATCTGTATAACAAACAATTCAAAATCAATAGACTTGTCACTAATCACTCAAGAAACAAGTGAATCAATCTCATTCGCAACCGTTGTTTGGTCTCTTCTCTTAACGCACTCTCCCCTCACGAATAGCTGCCTCAATTAGAATAAAATTCCTTTCCTTTTCTTTGGGAGAAGGAGGCAATTTTGTATTATTGTACTAATCACGCGTCAGGTTTTTTTTTCTAAAATGCCAATCACCAGTTTATATATCTTTGATAACCTACGATTTCCCACGTGACTCTTTTGGCGTTTTAAAGTTAAGTTGTAGGATGAATTACAAATAAATCGGCGGAAACTTACTGTTTGTTCGACTGCTACTCTTGCTAAAGTGAAAGTATTTATGCTCCGAAACCGCCTTTTGGATATTCATAGAATCACTCAACCCTCTTTGCGAATGTGAATAACTCCTAGAAGAACATCGAGTTGTTTATTTGCATATGGGATATTATAGCTTGCTTATGTTTACAGTCACTTAAATTTAACTGACTGCTTTGTGTGCGCAAAATATATTTAGTTCATTATACCGACGTTATATACAAATTTCACGCCTCATTCGCAGTGTTGGATTACCCCGCGGGGGTACCTCTATTACTTTCCATTGAGTAATTTGTCTTTCCTCAATGCAGGGATCTCCGAGAAAATTTCATCACTACACCAGGCAGTGTTGAGGTTGAACATGTTCTTGGGCGGCTTTCTAAAGTGTAAGTTCAACATAATATGCATATTATTTAATGAGAGAACAGTAATTTAATGAACGTACTTCCTTGCAAAGAATTTCGATTTGGCACAATTGATAGCCATCTACAGGACAGTATTAAAAGACCGGTTTAATACAAAAGAGTCTGCTTTTTGGCTACTAATTTTCGAAATACTTCAAACGGCCTTTCTGATCGCATGAGGTGTGCGAGAAAGACGGAAACATCACAAACGAAATCATATTCGTTGTGACTAGAAAAGAAATGTAATGCGCTAAAAGGTTCGTTGCTTGAAACAAAGACTTAAAAAGTAGAAGCACTTAAGTTTGAATCGCTCAGTAAGGCCATTTTGTTGCTG